ATTTTATTCCATTTCATTAATGGTACACAATTATTCACAATGAAATTTACCAAATTTTTTTTTATTAATACATAGACAAGTAAAAAATAAAAGAAGCTGAGGCATCTTATTTCATTTCATTCATATCAAATATCATCCGAGAATAAATGAGAGAGGATGAAGATAACGAAGAAGTTGAGGCATTCTATTCCATTCCATTCTTATCAAATATCATCCGGGAATAAATGGGAGAGGATGAGGATAACGCTGCAACTTCTTTGATATGAATAGAATGGAATAAAATGCCTCAACTTCTTTTATTTTTGACTTTATCTATGTATTGATGAATATTTTTTGGTAAATTTCATTGTGAATAATTGTGTACCATTAATGGAATGGAATAAAATGAAGTTTTTATTCATGTTTTGCTGTTACAATTAAATGTTTCTAGATGAGTAGAATTAACTTTGATAATAAATTTTGTAAAATTTTATCCTTTGATAACATGCTGTTAGTTTTTACATATATTTTTTTTTTTACATAATTCGCTTAAGTTATTTTGAATTCGCTTAAGCCGTTCAAAATTTGCTTAAGCGAATTTGAACATGAGGGTCATGTTCCCGCCACAACATGAGAGGATCCGAATCCCATGAAGCCAACAGTAACATAGGTACATATTGGTTTCAATGATTTATAATACATAAGGGTAGAGAAGCTACACATTAATTATAAATCGTTATATTAATTAAGTAAATCAATTTAATTAATAAATAAATTATAAACAATAGTACTAATTAAAATATAATTTACTTAATTAATAAATTATGTAATTAAGTGGAAATGAAGCTTGATTCGAATTTTTGAAACACAGAAAAATTAATAATAATAATAATAATAATAATAATAATAATAATAATAATAATTTATTATTATTATTATTATTATTATTATTATTATTATTATTATTATATTACATAATTTATCTATTTTAGAAGTAATGTTTGATCTTTGAATGCAAAGTACCTAAAGTAACGTTAGTACACATAAGTTTTTTACAATTTATAACATGGAAAGGTAGAGTTGATACATATTAAAATTATAAATTGTCGGGTTAAAAGATTATTTTAATATATTTAGTTATAAATTTGATTTTTAATTTTTAATTAGATGTATACATTTTAATTTATAATTAATTACATAAAAAATTATCGTTTCAGAAGGTTCAAAATAATGTAAATATTCGTCAACTTTTACATAGTTATAGCAAAATAAAATCATAAAATTGAAAAAATTACAGTACATCTATAAATGAAATAGAGATAAAATTCATATTTAATGATACAATGATAACAGTAAAGAAATAACAAAGATACAAAATAAATATAAGGATCGATTGAAATTCTAATAGCATCAATTAGCAGAAATATAATACAACCGGCAATAGGAACGGAAAGATGTACGACAATAAAGTAATGGATATTCACCTATAAATTTTTTATTGTAATATTCATTTATAAAAGAATGAGAACACGTGTAAGTGGAGCACATATGTACAGTGAGCACATGTGAACAGTGAGAATAAAAATAAAGACTTTTGGGTCTGAGTGAAGTTATTTTGTTATATATATATATATATATATATATATATATATTTTTTTTTGATACAGAGTTCACGTTGTACTATATCTTGGGATAGAATGAAATCATTTGTCTCGTTTATTCACACTGCTGCATAATAGTAATAAAATAAATGGTTGATTATAATATATAAGTAGAGAAGTGCGTAGCTTAAGAGTCGACAATAATCTACAGCAAAGGTCTGCTTCCTTTTTTTTTTCTTTTTTTTTTGCCTATTTCATTAATGTTCATTATGTTTGCTTAATGAACCTTTCTCTTCCTCGGAGTGTGTGTTCTTCAAAAGAACTCCTTTGCTCATTTTTATTTGGGTCTCATAAGCTTCATCCATTATTGCACATTTCCACAATCCCAGCCTCAATTTAAGGCTTGCAGGCTGCTGAAGTACCCCAAGTAACCATCGCATCATACAAATATTTTTTTAATTTGCTTATTATATTACTAATTAACACAATCTAAAAATATCATTTGATTTAATTTATTTTATATTTTTGTTTTTTTGTTTTTTTTTAGTTTCTTATAATAAAAATAATAATATAAAAAATATAAACAAATATGATAACAACTAATTATATAATATAAAATAAATTTTGATAAAAATATACCTTGGATAAAATTGAGTGTTCACATCATAAATAAAATATAATGGAATCAAAATGAAATCAATGTTGATGATATATTTTTTATTTAACATAATATTGGACATAATAACTGATATAGAGAATCATGAACTAAAATCAGTCAATGAGTGTAGATAAAAAAGTGATTGAGAAAATGGAAAGGTACAATTGAGGATGAATTAAAGTCGCTTACAAAAAGTCAAGTTTTTGGACCTATAGTTCGACCGGAAGATGTAAAGCCAGTTGGATATAAATGGGTTTTTATGTAAAAACAAAATGAAAAAGGTAAAATTATGAGATATAAAGCACAACTGTTTGCCTAAGGTATTTTGTAAAGACCTAGTATTGATTTTGAAGAAATATATTCACTTGTAGTGGATGCAAATATTTTTCGATACTTAGTTAGTTTAATAGTAAATGAAGGACTTGATTTGCAATTAATGGATATTGTTACAATCTATTTGTATGGCTCACTTGATAATGACATTTATATAAAACTGCTTAAAGGTTTTAATTTGTCAAATGTGTACAATTCAAATTCTAGAGAAGGTTATCTAATTAAGTTGAATAAATCACTTTATGGATTAAAACAATTTGGATGCATGTGGTATAATCGCATTAGCGAATATCTGTTAAAGGAAAGATATAAAAATGACCCTATTTGTCCATGCATTTTTATAAAAAGATTTTATAATAGATTTGCAATAATTGTTGTTTATGTTGATGGTTTCAATATTATTGGAACTCATGAAGAGATTTTAAAAATGGTAAATTGCTTAAAGAAAGAATTTAAAATTACAACTTGAATATGTAAAGAATGAAATTTTGATGCATCAAGAAATTTATACCACAAAGGTGTTAAAACGAGTTTATATGGATAAATCACATCCATTGTGTACTCAATGGCTGTAAGTAACTAAATATAAATAAAGATCCTTTTAAACCTCGGGAGAAGGATAAAGAACTACTAGGTCTTAAAGTACCTTATCTTAGTACAATTAGGACACTAATGTATCTTGCTTGTCATACATGACCTGATATATCATTTGCTGTTAACTTATTAGTAAGGTATAGTTATTCACCTATAAGAAAATATTGGAATGAATTTAAACATATATTTCGTTACCTTAAAGGTACAATGGATATGAGCTTATTTTACTCAAATAAATCTAAATTTAAGTTGATTGGTTATGCAGACGCAAGTTTTTTGTCTAACCTATATAATGGTATATTACAAATAGGTTATTTGTTTACATATGGTAGTAAAATTATTTTATGGCGATCTATGAAACAAACTATAACGGCTATACCATCCAATCATGCAGAAATTTTAGCATTACATGAGGCAAGTCAAGAATGTGTCTGGTTAAGATTTATGATTCAACATGTGCAAGAAACTTGTGATTTATCTTCAGAAAAAATGACCCTAACAATTATATGTAAAGATAATGTTGCGTGTATTACTCAATTGAAAGAAGGGTACATTAAAAGAGATAGAATAAAGCATATTTCTCCAAAATTCTTTTTTAACCATGATCTTCAAAAGAATAGTGATATAAATATTAAACAAGTTTGTTCATGTGAGAATCTAGCAGATATTTTCACAAAGTCAATTCTTAGTAAAACTTTTAAACAACTAATTCACAAGATTGGACTTCATCGTCTTAGAAATAATTGTTCATATGAGGAGAAAAATTAAATATATTCTGCACTTTTTTTTTCCTAGCTATGGTTTTTTTTCCTATTGAATTTTTCTGGCAAGATTTTTAATGAGGCAGTATGTAATAGAGTATTAAATAATGATATATTTTTCTTTTCACTAAGTTTTTATCCCATTAGGTTTTTACATTTAGATTTATGAAACATATTATAAAATAATAGACATTCACGGAAGAGTGTTATAAATTATTATATGAGTGAATATTCATATTCATAACTCCTCATATTATTTGTAACATATGATTTTGTAATCGTTTTGTTTAATTATCATTTAAAGAGATGAGATTCATCAATTATAGATTTAGGCCTATAAATAAGTATCTCATTTGTATTGAAGGTACGTGAAATGAAATTAATATTCTTTCTTTCTCTTTATATTATTCTCTTTATTTTCTCTTTTGCTTCTTATAATTTTATATTTATTTTATAACACTAAAAATATTTTAGAGTATTCAAATTTAAATTTAATTAATCTCTTTTCATCTTCTATTGAAGTCACATTCAAAATCTTAATATTTAAAAAAATTATAGATATATGTTTAACTTAGATATAAATGTATATTAAATGCCAAAGCACAAATATGTTATGAATTTTCATTTTGTTCATCATCATTTATCATTTGTTTGATAACGATATCAATCATCTTTATTCACTTTTCAAATTCGTAAGTATAAATCGAACTAAACTAAAATTTAATCAAAATAAATTAAACAATAATATACATAATAAAAAATATAATTAAACTACAACAAAAGATACTAACTAACTCGCAAAATATATGACTTCAAATTTTCTTTATTTACAGAATGCGTCTAATTATGCTTAAGCAAACTTTTTTTTTTTTTCTCTCCGATAAGAAAAACCAAAAGAACAAGGGAAAATTTGAACTAAAAGAAGACAGAGATTATGAAATGGGCTTGACTGAAGTTGGAAGATGTAGTGATTAATGGACAAGGCCCAAAATTAATCACTCTCGTAAGAAACAGGTGCGCCCCACCGCGCGATTCAGAAAAAAAATGTTCCAAGTTTCCATTAAATTTCAAAATTGCAAATTGACCAAAAAAAAAAATAAACATTCAAAATTGCAAGACAAGCAGAACTCAAAATCTGCAAAAGTGTGAGTGGGAGCACGAACGTAGAGATGGAAGTGGAGCAGAATCAGAATCTGCAATTAGGGTTTCCCTTCTGGAAACCGATTCGTCGCAGGTTCGGACCTGATTCTCCTTTCTTCGCTACCGGCAACCTCGAACGAGAACTTCTCGCCAAACAGGTTTTTTGTGCTCCCCCCCCCCCCCCCACCCAAAAGTTTCAAATTGATTGATGATTATGAATACTTAAAGTGCTGAATTGAACTGGGAACTGTTACTTACCCGTTTTGTTTCGAAGGTTGCCTTGCAATTAACAGAAGAGAAGCAACAGCTTGAGAATTGGATACAAGAAGAAGGAAGGTACTAATCGTTATATTTGTTTTCGTATTTTTAACTATAATGTGAGCTCGAAATCGATGTTGGTATATGATTTTCAAATATTGGGCTCAAAGTACATGATGGGTTGTTATTTCTAGTTCTCTAACTATACTTTTCTGTTATTCTACCTGTTGCATAGCGAAAGATCTTTTTGTAATTCTGGTTAATTTCTTTCTTTGCATTTATATCAGAAAAAAAAAACCCATTTTTTTTGGTATTACCCTCGAGCCTTTTGTGTGCCCCCATATCTTTTTTTAATGCTTTGTCTGAGAAGATAATTTTTTCTCTTGGAATGTGTTTTAATTAAATGGAAGTTTGAGTGCCTCATGTCAGAGCCACTATTGTTTTGTGCAGGGAAGTTTTTTGTCCCATTGTTGGTTGTGGTGCACGCTTGACATCAATGGAGGACTTTGAAAATCACTATAATGCAAGGCATACTGCATCCTGTTCTGTGTGTTCCAGGGTCTACCCAACAACACGTCTTCTGAGCATACATGTATCTGAAGTACACGATTCTTTCTTTCAGGCAAAAGTTGCACGTGGCTATGATGTGGTATATGCTTCTAAACATGAATGCATGATTGATGATGATTTATTGTGATATCATGAAACGATTTCTTGTAGTGTTGCATCTATTTTATACTTTAATTCTTTGATGAAGAATTAACTAGTTGAATGTTTGTATTCTTCAGTCCAGGATATTCAATTTTTCTTTTATTCTTCAAGTTCCTTCTGTAAAATAGTCCCCCACTCCAGCCCCAACAATTTTTTTCCTTACTTAAAGTATACATAATTTTACATTTGTCAACTTGCATTTTGAACTGTGCTTAAAATTTCTGTATTATCCTTACATGCTTTATCTTTATATATCCAATTTCTGTATTAAAATTTCTGTATTTTAGCCTGCTATCTTTTTTGCATCCATGTATATGATTTTTCTTTGAGATTATCATCTTGTTGATATGATCTTTATGTCTTTGTCATATATTTAGTATGAATGCTTAGTGGAAGGGTGTGGTTTGAAATTCAAAAGCTACAATAGCAGGCAGCAGCATCTGGTTGACAAGCATAAATTCCCCATTTCATTTGAGTTTTTCAAGAAGTCTCGACCTTCAAAGAAACAGAGGTCGAAGTCCCAACGCAAACAAACTGTTCGTAAAGAAGATGCTTCCGGCATGATGGAAGTGGAAAATGCAGCCATGGACGACCTTGTTTTAGCTGTCTCTAAATTGAGCACTTCTGACTCCATTCCTTCATCCATCAGCTTTGGCCGCCGGCACAAAGGGTTGTCGTTTGTCCCCCGAGCTGTTCAGCGTGGTAATGGATCAAACTCATCAGCGTCCATGACAAAGAGATAGATAATAAGCTTGCATTTCTTAATTGCAAAGTGATCAATCTTCAGATTCTGCTTCATTATAAAATCTATGTGGATGTCTTCTATTCAGAGATTGAAAAGCTGATTTTGAAGATCGGGAAAGTAGAATCGTGCTGGAGGATATAATAACTTCATACATTATTAGTATTATCTTTTTGTGCTCCCACTTGGAGCTATGTTTTCCCAACACAGGCTATGTGCCCAGGCGAATATACCTGGTTGATGATATGATGTGAAGATTTTAAGCTTGTGTCTGATATTGTTCTGTTAATTTATCAAGCCTTTACTGAATAGTCACTTTGTGATTAGAGTTGAAAGAGACCACTCTGACAGCTTGCATTATGTTTGTTGCAACGAATATAAAGTACCTAGCAAGCTTAAAAATGGCAATTGCTGTTCACTTTTATTTTAAGTTTCCTTCCTTTTATATACATGTTTTAAGACCTCTTTAGAATGTGTACTCTTGTTTGGTTTTCTTCCAACTTTAATTCATGTCTGAGCCCAGAGTTGTTCCCTGGGACCAACAATTGTTGATTTTTGAAAATTATGTATCAACTCTGTCGCTAACAGCTCGCAATATAGTAAACAAGTCAAAATCAACTATGCAAGATTTTAAAAACAAAAACCTTTTAACAAACCTAGCATTGATAGTATAAACAATCTAGAATTGTAAGTGACAAATAAGTTACAGCGATTGAAATACAACAAATGACAGGAAAGTGAGGCAAATAAGCTAGTTGCAACATATTTCAACAAATACATGAGCAAAAGATTTTAAAATATCTCAGGTTGTTTATAATGAGCTAGTTGAAGAGATACAGGGAGGCAAATACAAGTTCCCACAAATAGTGTCATCAAAATAACATTAGCACCCAGATGAGTGCTCCAATGGAACTTGCACTTTCTTACAACAAACACATTCTTTTCAAAAATGCAGCTAACATCTTTTTAGTCCAGACTGAAGCTGAACCAATGTGATTATTCAACAGCAAGAAAGCAGCGACAAATCTATGCACTTGTTTTGCAAGTTAGAATTAGAAAAAAAAAATTGTCAAATATTTCCCAACAGTTTTTTTTTATCTATATAAAAAGGTGGCAAAATTTTAATTTTTCATACGACACTCCACTGTTGGTCAAATAAGAGGTGCATTAGAATCAAAGCTATCAATAACATTCAAGCTTGATTAGTAGCATAAAACATCAAAAGAATCACAAAAAGGCTACTTGGATGCAAAAAGAAAGAAATACTTATATCCTCATTTATTTATCTAGTTTTTATTGGAAAAGACCTCAAAAAAAAAAAAAGGACGATATAAGAGGGACAAAACATGATGACTTATTTTGCTGCACTATCTGCCACAGGATCCGTTGAAAACAACAGAGTCAAACCCATTTATGGATATTGAATTGAGATGACAAGAAACAAAACGATGCTCCACTCTTGGTCAAGTAAGAAGTTAGTTAGGTGAACTTGCATCAGAATTAGAGCTAATAATAAGAGAGGGAGAGAATGATTATGGAAGAATGATGCCTATAAAAATGAAATATAGAGTACCTTGACCGGTGGTTTTTGAGAATGGTTTTTGAACTCAAAATTAGTTCTTTACAAAAATCACCAATAATCACTTATAAGAGTACTCTATGCTGGAGGAGCAGTGCTTGATCTGAAACCAAGAAGAATCGCACTATTCTTCAAAAAATAATTTTTTAAAACATCCCCCAACTTCTTTTACTTTCTCTCTCCCACTACTGTTGACAAATTATTAATTTTAAACAAATAATATAAGAGTTTTGTGACCTTAGAGCTAAGTTTAAACATTTATAAATAGAAAATTTTTATAAAAAAAATATACATTTATATTAAAGTTGTAAAAATACAATAAATACTTTTTTTAAAAAAAATTACTATTATTAACTGTTTATCCTCAGTCTAAGGATTAAGATTAACAAAATTAATAATATAATAATTTTAATAGGACTTAAAAAGTAATCCAAGAATTCAAGTTTTAGTTCTATCACCAGAGCAAAAAAAGGATAATTTTTTTTAAACATATAGTGTGGGACTCACATGAAGTAAATTTAAGAATCTATTTGGATTTCACTACTAAAGGTTCTTTAATAGAGAAAGAAAATTGGAAAAATTCTGATAGAATTTTCAGAATAATGTAACCAAAACATGAATTTTATCTTGTGTGATTTAAATTTTTTATAGCTATGATATAGTCTTATGATTTTAAAATTTGTGATATCCTTGTATCTTTGTCATATTGTATTTTTGTCTCGTGTCCTATCCATACTTGCTAGCGTAAGACTAGGCACAAGGGTTTACTTATATCAGTCAACAGTACAACACCGATTGATAAATCAAGTGTCTACAAGGAGGGTACCCAAGAATAATTGTTATTGATTTACAATTAAAAATATTTTCTTACGTCACATTTTTTATAACTTATTCTTGCACCCACTTTTATGATAAAAGAAATTGAGAGGAAACTTAATTTTTACGGCTTCATTGTTTTAACATCAAATAGTTTGACATTATGTTTGATACTATTCATAGTTATTTCTAATTTATTTACTTTTATCATTTTCATATATAAGTACTATAAAAATATTCTCTCAAAACTAAAGATAATAACAAAAGTTGTCACAATTTTATTATATATTCATGAAGAAAAAAAAAACAGTTTCATAGATATCGCCTTTCAACATAAAAAAAGTATATAAAAATACAATGCAAAAATATAAATCCTACTTACAATTAATAATATACATGTAACAAACTCTAAATGATCTAATTATAGAAAAGTCATCTCCATGAACGAGGAAGTACCACATCTGGCTAGAGCTGCTACAACATCGCCTTTCATCTCCATGCATCTCTAACTTGATCACATTCACTCGTCCATTCATTCACACCCTCCACAAATTAACGTCCTTCACAGTAACACAAATTCAACATGCAACCCTGGGCTTTCAAGTCATTGCAACCTTCCCACAAGAAGAAACACCCTCACACTCCTAATTCCCCCAACCCACGCCTTCTCTCCCTCTTCACCGCCACCATCGCCGCCACTACCATCATCGTATTCTGCTTTCGGAAAACCCTCATCGACCCCACCAGCCTGTGCACCTCGGCCTCCACCTACGTGCCCCTCACGACAGCACAGGCCGCGGTGGCGGCACAGTTCGCCACGACACCGAGCACCCTCGTGACGATCTTCCACTACGCGACGGCGCATGCGGCTTCGCAACAGACCAAAGGCGAGATCCGAAGACCCTTTGATCTACTCCAATCTCTCGCGCCATGCAACTTACTCGTATTCGGAATGGGCCATGACTCGCTCATGTGGGACACGTTCAATCCACGTGGCACGACGTTGTTCCTCGAGGAGGATCCTAAGTGGACCCGCACTTACCTCCAACGCTTCCCTATCTTACGCGCTCAGACAGTGAGTTACAACACGCGCATCTCCGAGGCCAAGACCCTATTGTCCTCTTATAAGAAAGATTGTGGCAACACCACCACCGGTCACCCCCTGAAGGGTAACCGGCGGTGTAAGCTGGCACTAAATGAGCTGCCTGATGAAGTCTATGATCGAGATTGGGACGTGATCATGATCGATGGACCCAGGGGATATTTTGCGGCGGCGCCGGGGAGGATGGCGGTGATATATTCGGTGGCGATGATGGCGCGTGGAAGAAAAGGATCGGGTGTGACGCACGTGTTTCTTCATGACGTGGATAGGGAAGTGGAGAAACGGTATGCCATGGAGTTTTTGTGCATGAAATATAGGGTTGGGGGTATTAGGAAGCTTTGGCACTTTGTTATTCCACCCGTTGTTAATGTTAGTGATATCTCTCATGGATTTTGCTGAAGTTACATTGTCATGTATTTTGTTTTCTTTTATATAATATATATGAAATAGAAGAGGTTTTGTTTAAGGATTTGTTCTAAGTTCTAATTTTAATTTGTTGCTTAACAAGTTTTATGATCCAAGTTAAATAGAAAAGGTTAAGATTGCTCCATTCGCACTGTTATTGTACAGATTCAAAGCTTATCATGCATTTGTTACAAAAAAAGAAAGAGTTTGCCGTATAAGTGACAAATAAAACAACTTATATAGTCATTTTATAAGACATTTTACAGTTTTTATAAATTATTTATTATATTTTTTTCATCTGTTCTTAAGAATGAAGTTAATAAGAACTTAAAAAAAAGATAAATATTGATACTAGAGTTAGATTTAATAATATTAAATGAAAAACAAATTGAAGGTGGGGAGATTGTAGGTTAGAGAATTGTTAGAAATAAAGATATTCATCTTTTTGCTTTTATTGTTCATAATGGTCCTGTTCAGAGAGAAAAAAAATAGATGCTCAAATAATGGAGTTCTAGAATTTTCGAAACTGAATATTAGTATATGGTGTATAGTTTTGTCTAACAAACGCTTACTCACATAAATAAATTGAACATGGATAGACTATTGTACCGGATATGACACTACCCGATCTTATCTATAAAAAAAAGGAACCGAGTATCTCCTTGGTCGTATAAGGTAATTAATTCAATTAAAGGTAATAATCAAATTATTATCCAATATTAAAGGGCCAAAACCAAAGCTAACTCAACAAGCCCATTAGTCCATAATACTTCCTATAAATTTCTATAAAAGGAAGGTAAGAGGTACATGTAAGAGGTTGACTTTTAATTATTAAACAGTATTTACTGCTCAGAACTGAGACTTGACTTCAGCATCGGAGTACCTTTTGCAGGTACCCTCCCCACGTCAACAACGTACGGAAGGACATCATCCTACCCAGGCAGAGGTCAAAAGATTAGTGTTTCCCGAACAGGAACATTTTGGCACCCACCGTGGGGCACGAATAGCCTCACTTTTTCAGTCATCATGGTACTAACAAGAAACCAACAGGAGGGACAGAATTATCAAGGACGAACTTCTCATTAACAGGAAGATGTCACACCCAATCAATTGATCCCTGAAGTTTTGGCCAAAAGAGGGGGAGATGAAAGCCTCTTTTCTGTAGTAACACAGCTCTAGGCCGAGATGAGGGAAATGCAATAGGCCAGAGAGAGAGATGCTCTTGAGATGTCAGCCTTGAGGAGGGAGAACGCTAACTTGAGGGAGGAAATTAAAACCCATATACCCTCTCAGACTACCCCATTCGCTCAAGAGCAAGGAGAGTCCTCGGCATTGCAAGAAAAACCTAAGGGAACTCAAGTTGGAATCCTTACTGAACGAGACAATGTCTTGGGTCAGAGCCCTTTTATTCAGTCTATCCTGGAGGCCAAGTTACCTGACAACTGGAGAGGTTTAACATTAGAAAAGTATGATGGGACGTCTGATCCAGGAGAACACTTGGATATTTTCATAACCCAAGTCGGTCTGTATACAAAAAATGAGGCCTTATGGTGCAGGATTTTCCCCACTTCGCTTCGGGGACCAGCTCTCAGTTGGTTCACCCGACTCCCCCTTCCTCCATTGACTCCTTCGCAACCCTTACAAGACGATTCAATCTACAGTTCGCCACAAGCAGACCTCACCCCCTGACATCCTTGGCACTCGTTAATATTCGTCAGGAAAAAGGAGAAACACTTAGAGCATTCATGGAATGCTTTGGCAAAGTAACCCTTTCAATCCACAATTTGGAACTAGCTGTGGCCATGCACCACCTCACAACGGCCCTTAGACCAGGACTTTTTGTTAATAGCATATCTAAGAAACCACCCATGGACCTAGACGAATTAAGGAGTAGAGCAGCCAAATATATGCAAATGGAGGAGTTAGCTGAATACCGGAACCAAGTCCAGATAGATCAAGCGGGGTCCAATTCAAGAGAGGCGGACAAAAAAGAAACTTTCAAGTCTCGACAAGAAAACAAAGTTAGAAAAAATGATGTTGAGAGGCCGCTTAGAGGTCCTAAGCATCCTTTATATACTACTCTCAACACCAACCGATCTAGGGTACTTGACCAAGCTCTCGCAACTGAAATATTGAAAATGCCCAGGTGTGCTAATACCTCCTCTCGGGTAGAAAAATCGAAGAATGCATGGCCCTGAAGGATAAAATCGAAGATCTAATCAAGGAAGGGCATCTTCGAGGATTTGTGCAAACAAATCCCACTAGTCATACTGAAAGAAGTAGATACCGATATCCCTAATCCTCAAGAAGGTATGAGGATAAGCAGCCCGAGCGACAACAGACCCGGTCAAGAGAACCTCCTGCGAAACAATATGAGGAACGAGAGAAATACTCGAAGAGGGTTATTAACACCATAGCCAATGGTTTTGCAGGTGGAAGACCCACCAATTCAGTCAAAAAAAGACATATGAGAAAAGTACGCTCTGTCAACAATATATCGCTGGGTAGTAGAATCCGGATTCCCTCCATTACATTCACTGACGAGGACTTTCAGGGGGTAGATCCAGTGCAAGATGACCCTATGGTTATAAGTGTGGATATCCTTAATTGCACCGTCAGGAAAACACTAATTGACCAGAGGAGCTCAGCCAATATCCTCTATTGGAACACATTCAAACAATTGGGGATACCAGAAAATGAACTCAAAGAGTACCACGAACCACTGGTCAGTTTTTCTCGGGAATGAGTAGAGACCTGTGGTTGTATCAACCTGTACACCTCACTCGGGTATGAAAACGAAGGAAAACGCATCAAGGTTACTTACCTGGTGCTGCACGCGAATACTTCGTACAACATACTACTCAGTCTACCATCCCTTAATAAATTGAAAGCCATAGTGTCTATTCCTCACCTGGCTATGAAATTTCCATTAGAAAGGGGCCAGATTGTTACAGTCCATGCTGACCAAAAGACCGCCAGAGAATGCTATTTTGCAAGCCTACGCTTAAAATTGTCCAGGGGTACAAGCGAGACGTCAATATTTTCTTCCCTTGGTCAGAAGAAAATCTGGATATGGAGTTGGATCCTAGAATTGATGAGGGATGTCGGGTCAAGCCCAGTGAAAATAAGCAGCCCTTCCAATTGGGACCGAAGCCTAAACAGATCACTTATCTTGGCACCGGGTTGTCTGCACAAGAAAGGCAGGACCTTCAGAAAGTCTTGTTGCAAATTGCTGATTTATTTGCCTGATCAGCGTCTGACATGCCAGGTATAGACCCAGAATTTCTCTATCATCATCTCTCGGTGTAGAAGAGAGCCAAGCCGATAGCACAGAAAAAGAGAAAAAATAGAGGTGATAGAGCGAAAGCAGTCAAAGAGGAGACCAATAAACTGTTACGGGCCAGCTTTATCCGAGAAGTAAGATACTCTACCTGGTTGGCCAATGTAGTCATGGTCAAGAAAGCCAATAGGAAATGGCAAATGTGCACTGACTTCACGGACCTTAATAAGACGTGCCCAAAAGACGTTTATCCTCTTCCAAACATTGACACATTAGTGGACGGTGCAGCTGGTCACTGATCAATTGGATTTTTATAACCTTATTTCCTTTCATTCCTAGCTCATTAATCCTTTTTTGTGCCTAATTAGTTTGAATTGGATAATTTTATGATGTTTGAATTTTATTTGGGCTTTATTTAATTTTTCCAGTATTTGGTAAATTCTGATACTATTTTGGTTTCTGGAACATATCTCGAGTTGTAGAAATCATTTCATTGTGATTTTTGATTTGTAGGAAAGCTTAGAGAAAGGCGCACAATTCTTATGTAGAGCTCAAAAACCAATTCTGATGATAAGAAGCTGAAACTGGGCCTGGAAAAAATTGAAACGCTGCAGTCGTGGATCCTGAGCAAGGTGCAGTATTTGGGTCATATCTCCATCCACAGACATCCGATTAAGCCCATTCTAGTGGCGTTTTGAAGCTAACATCCGAGGCTACAATTGTCCTTCAGGCCATGAACCAAAAAGAGGCCGTTTTCATAGTCGAAGAAAAGGAACAAAGTGACGAACAAAATTTTTGAATTTTGAATTTTAATTTTTTTGGCTCCTCTCTTCTTTTCTTCTCTCTTCTCTCTCTGTTTTCGTTTTTTTACTCCCCTTTCACGAATTGTTTCCCTCCATCCATGGAGGCTTAGATTTCTATCTAGTCCAAGGATTGAAAAAGGGCTGAGACACTCTTCAGGATCGGTTTCGTAATTTATTCAACAACAAAATTGGTTTCATCTCTTCCTTCTTTCTCCTTTTGCTAATTATGATTTCAAATTGAAGTTCTTCATTTGGATTGATAATTGTGCAGTTGTTTGATTACATATTATTCGGTTGATGTATGTAATTAATTCTTGAAGGAGTGTGAATTAAATTTTCAGGTTTGAGATCTAAGATTAATGGCATTGGTGAATTAAATTAACATAAATAGATTAGGTTCTAGATATTTCTGAACTTTGAGCGAATTGTGTGTTAATCGAATGCATGAGGGTTCTCATGTAAATGCTTAATTTGAATTGAGGTTTCATTCGAATTTAATGTTAATCACTAATTTTTTGGTTGATGCATCTTCTTGGAATCCGGTGATAGAGTGGTTGTAGTTCTTATAAATTCTTGGATTAGAGTTTTTAATTATTTTTAACTTTTGATTCTAATTAGTTATTCTATAAATCAAACCCCCTCTAAAAATTTTATAATCGTATAACGTTATCATCGTTGGGAGATGACTCAGATTGCACCTCTTACTACATAATTTTTATTCAATTTGATTTTTATTAATTTGTCCGAGAGCGACACTCGCGATCAAATTTTGGCGCTGTTGCTGGGGATGATGATGTTATTTGATTATGTAATTCTGTGTTAGTGTGATTGCATTACATATTATGTGTTGCGATTTATATCTAATTAGGATTATGCATAATTAGCGTTTTTCATTTAGCATAATTGTATCT